GGCATTGGAGACAAACTTTTGAAATTACCTGACATAAAGGTATTCCCCCTTTTTCCTGCAGAGAAATCATTAGTCAGATTAATTAGCTGCATTATTGTTTAAAGACATCTGTTGGCTTTCGTTTAATGTTTACTGGGCTTCTTCCCCTGGAAATGATCAGAACATTATATTAAGAAATTACAGCTATGCAAGATGAGGGCCATACACTCAGCAAAAGAATGTACAGTAGGTTTTACTCTATTTATGTACTTCATATCTTACATTGGCATGTCATTTATCAGCAGACCTACAGCTGTATTTCCTTCCCCTGTGGTGGTAGCTATTCCTGAACTCCTCCCTGTCAGACTCTCCAGTGGGCTAACACAGCAGCTTATTGCTCACCACTGTGTTTGGGCATCTTGACATGCAGCTTACAGTATCTAAGTGGACACTGCTCTGTACTGTGTGTTAAAGAAAGCGAGCTACGTTCCAGGAATCGGAATGCAATTCATTAGACAAGACAAGTCAGTGACACGATGTGGTGCAAACGCACTGCTGTTGTTTCCTACTTGTGCCATTGAAACTCAAAGCCCTCGCTGTGGTGCAGTGAGCAAACGTCTCTGGAGAAGTTACTGAGCATGTGTCAGGCATGAGGCGAGCGAGACAAATCAGCCAAGACGTTTTGATGCAGTTGCTACAGAGGCATGCCCCTGTGAAAGTTTACCATAGCAATCATCCATTTTCAGGGACTGCTTAATTCAGTGCCACGGTGTGCTAGGCCTGAGCCTAACCTGGCAGATTGCTATAGATACACCTTGGGCAGGCTGCCAGTCCATCACAGGCCCCACCCACATACACTGTCTTCGTACTAAACTGTAGCTAAAGTGTGTTACATTCACCTAACAGACAAGTCACAATATAGACCATACAGCATGACACAACTATAAATGGATGAATTTCAACCTACTCAAATGTACATTTGCTTGTCGCTTTCCTGTTCTCTGAATTTCAGATCAAGGACAATAAGTATTTAAAGTATGTGTTAAT